ACTGTCTGAAGAAATACGAAGAATTCTCATTTAAGCTCTATGAAGACATTTAAATAAAGGGTTCACCTATCTTCTGTGAAGGTAATATAGAAGATCCAAAAATCTCATATCAAAACGTTGGTTTTTTAGCAATGGCCCAGAGGTTAAATTCTCAGAGCTATCAAGCTATCAGCAGCCACTGCAGCATGGGTTCCATCCCTTGCCAGGGAGCTAACCCATATGGCACAGCAGACCTCTCCTGCCTCTCCCGCTGCTCCCCTCAGCAGTGTATTTCAGTAGATCTGCCTGTTCTGTTCCCACTCTGTCTCTGGCGAATCCTCTAACCCCCCAGCACCTCTGGCCTACACCCCAGTTCTTATATGCAAAAATAAATAAAATAAATCTTTATAAAAAAAGAGAATAAGAGCTAGCACGATGTGCTTACTGTGTATCAGGCACTATTCTAGCAGGATTCTAAAGTGACCAACATACGTATTAGGAAGGGGGGTATTTTTTAAGTAAATTGACAAACAACCTCTCTCCCTTCCCAGATCTCACTGGAAAGACATATCCCACCTGCATTCTTACCCCAGGATCCTTTGGGGCAGCAGGCCCTATACAGCAGGCAGATGGAGGTAGAGCTTATATCTGGACCTTTACACCGAGAGCACAGGAGAGAGACTGATTTTGCTTTGTCTACCATTTTGCTTTGTCTCTTAGTCAAAACTCATTTCAGGTTATTACTAATGGGATGGAGAAAGGAGAATTTAAATTATTTGGACTAGTAAGCATTTACCACTGGGACTTAGAGCCCTCTGATTAAATTCAATCATAGAACAACAGAGTAATAATAAAAGTGGCTACTATTTTCCTTTGCCTTAACACTCAACAGATTCAACGTAGATTTGTTGGATTAAATTAACATTAATGACTTACATTTATATATTCATCTGCAGTTTCAAAGGATTTGAATTCTCATTTTAAATAGAGAGAACCCTGGGTGACCATCGTATTCTGATTCTTCTCTTTTAATCTATGGAATACGCAGGCTCTGAAAAGAATTCTACTTTGAGAAACATTTCACTCCGTTTGATGATGAAAATTCCTTTGTCATATTTGTCTAAGTCCCTCTGATAGAGTTTTCACTTTTCACTGACAATAATGAGTAGCGAGGAATTTCCTCAAGACAGCACATTTTTGCTCATTTGAACTTTTAATGTATTTCCAAGTCATGCTCGTCTTGTCAAATGTTGCCGGTGGGGACCCCATATGCCTTTGACCTGTCACCCTCATGTCCCCAGAGAGTTCCAGCTGCCTGGGCCTGCCTTTCTATCCAGAGGGCTTTCTCCAAGACTCAGGGAGGTAAGAGGTACGGGATGTTAACAAAGCCCTGGGACCAGCCCTCAGCCAACAACTGACAGGTGTTGCTGTACAAGTACCCCAACACCCCTGGAAGTTCCCATCTCGAGTGGGATAACTGCCTCCTACATTCGCCAGTGAGGTTAAATTTCAGCAACATGGCAACTTGTTAGAATTGCGCTGTTCATTGACTTTTTCCTCTTCTCTGTCGCATTCCACCCTCTTCTTCTCTTTCTTCTTGGGATCACCTCCCTAATAAACTGCTTGCACCTAAACCCTTGTCTCAGGGTTTGCTTCTGGAGAAACCTAAATACAGACTTGAAGTACATTTTACCAGAAGGGCACTGAGGTAGCTCATCATATCTAGCTGTTAAGTCACCTAACAAGGTGTAAAGCTGCCTGCTAATCCTTTGCTCAAACAATTTTCCAGCTTATCACTGTCCACTGATTTTACTGTTCTCCTGGGTAGATCTACTCCACTTACCATCCTCATTCTGTTAATTACAGTATAAAATTTTTAATTAAAAATAAGGAGAATGTATTTGCCTAGTAGAAAAAGAAACAAACAAACAAAAATCCAAAACAAAAAAACCCTAACCACAGTTCAGGTTCAGGTTCTCTGCCAAGGAATTAAGGATGAGATATTTGGATGTTCAGTGTTCTTGCCTATATTAAAAACAGAAATATTTCCCAAACCATGTGTAATTATGTGTACTTTCTTTGTAAGGTTCTGAGTGTCTGATAAATATTGAAAACTCACACATTCCTCTGGATGAAAGTTGTCAAAATGTGCACTTTTGTAGAGAAGTCACAATTTCTGTTCAGTTCTTAGATGTCATCCAGTTTACGATTAGCATAAACTCAGCACCTCTTCACCCACTGTCTCATCAAATAGCCATTAACCCTCCTCTTGAACGTTTTCAGATATGGAGAACTCGTTACTACTGGCAAGAGTTTATTGCTTTTATTTATTAACCTTAATCATTAGCCAGTTCTTCCTTAAACTAGACTAAAATCTTCCTCCTAAAGTTGTCACTCTTGGTGGAAATTTTCTTGGGAGAAATTAGTGAACAAGTTGGATGTCTCGTCCCATGTAGAACATTTGAAAACTTATTAATGTGTCTCTTGCTCTATCTCATACACCCCTCCCCTGCCCTCAGTACTTGCAGCTCTCCTTAACATGTTATGGTTTGATCACTTTACTGTCCTTGTCACTATCTGTCACTTTTCCTCTTAAAAAAAATACCCATTGGAAGCAACCTAGTTGTCTAACCATTGGGGATTGGAAAGTTTAAATAAATTACAGCATAAGGCAATACTATAGAGCCCTTAAATCATGTTTTGAAGACTATTTAATAATCTATATTATTATTAAATATAGACTATTTAATAATCTATATATCAAGTAGCAGCAGAGATATTACATATGCAAGCAAGTGCCAATTTCATTAAAAAATAGACACATAGAAATGAAAGTCCAAATACTAAGAATGATGATATGGCTAATTTTGAGTATGCTTTATGGTTGTTGGTTGTTTTTTTTTTTTTTTTTTGAAGTTTTCTACAGAGAACAAGTATTTGTTTTTTAATTAGAAAAAATCTGTGCGCTTCTTAAATAAATAGAAAAAGAGAACATGCTATCCAGAGGCCCCACAGAGTTCCTCAAGGATATTGTTATACTGAAAATTTGATGGGAGCTGGCACCTCTCAATTTGGATGCTTTGCTCTCCAATTTCAGATTAGGATTTTTGCCAGATAAATCATAGTGTCCATTAGCTTCGTACGTGCACCTCATCAGAACCCCAAGGATTCTTTTCCCACTTAAATGACGATCTCCTTTTAATCTGGTAACTCGTATTGGGAGTAGCCTGTCACAGAAATACCCCGACTGGGAGAGAGATGGGTTTGTCTCCATGGTCAGTGGAGGCTGGACAGGCTGGAGGGAGGCTGTGTGCTGTGAGCTTTCCCGCCTGACTGGCAGCCACCCCAGCTTGAAACCCTACAAGCTGCACAGTGCAGCCACACTGGCTTGAGAAAGTGAGCAGAACCTTATTTGGTGACTCTGGGAGGTGCTGGGTCCTGGACATGGCAGGAATGGCAGGCAGCCACAGGGCAGCCAGAAGGAGGAGACAAATGCTTCTGGTGCAGGGGCCACCCTCTGAGTCTGAATTTGCTGCCCTGGCAGCTATTATGCTGCCATTTCTTCCTAAGGAAGAAAGGTTTCTGCATATCAGAGCCTTGGAGGAATGCAACACATGCATTTCTCAGTCTCCCCTTTGGAGAAATCTCCAGTGCCCTGCAGTTAATTGGGCAGGCAGAGAGAGGGAGGACAAAAGAGGAGGCAGACAGTAGTGCAGCCTCCACAAGGAAGCAGAAGGGACAGGCGAGGTTCCATATGAGCTTGCAGAGAGGGAAGGATGTCACAGATGAGAGGAGAGCTCCTCCTTAGACACTGAGGCAGACTTCTCAGGCAGGATCTACAACTCACAGGCAATTTTTAATTGTCTTATCCATAGGATGGATTCTCATCTCTGGGGATAGAGCTTTGGTGTAATTCCTGTCATTTATCTGTGACAGCATCTTGGCTGGATGGTGCCAGTGATTCATTTAACTTAAAAAAAAATTATTATTAAAAGAGATTGCTTTCCTGATGCCCCATGCACAAAACCCATGAGAAACCTCTCTTCTCTTTTTTATAATATGGACACATACAGCTCAAAGATGTATAACCCAGATGTTGGTACCGAAACATTTCTGCTGGTAAATCCTATTTTCACTACTCAAATGCACAAGTTCTCCTAAGTGTGAGTCTCTTCAGATATCCAAATAACATTAAACAAACAAATAAACACACAGATCTGGAGGTTCCAGGAGCAATAATAATACATTGGATAATTTTTAGTGAACACACCGATGCTTCAACAGTATACTGCCCTGTGTTAAAATAAAGTGATTGCTTATAGTCAAAGAGTTTGTAGGTTTCATCAGGAAAGTAGAGTCACTTGGGCGGCGGGGGGATGGGAGAAGAAAAGATGGGGGGGTGCGGCTCAAAAATGAGAACAGCAGTATTTACTGTGTGATTCTCTGTTCCTATTTCTTATTTGTCAAGGGATAGTAAGTGCTGTACTTAGCATTGTGGGAGGAAGTAGGTTTGGAGTAGTCATAAGCAAAATCATAATAAGAGAAGATGACTTCCTTGCTTTCATAAAGCAATTGTTGCAATGTAAGTTGCTGCAATTTTTTGGCTTTTTGCCATCAGTTTTATCCAGCAAGAATTCAAACTGCTTGTTTCCACCCTGCAATTCAATCTCTATAACCAGGGTTGATTTTAAACCTTGTCAAGTCTCTTTTCTTCACTACCTGCCCTCACGCTTTTCCTTAGCCGTCTGTTCTTCCAGACCTCAAGTTTCATTCTTTACTCCTCCCTAAACCACCTGCCTTTGTCTGCTGCCAGGCCCTACGTCTTGTCTGTTTGCTGTTGATCTGAGCTGTGGCTCCAGCCAGACGGTCAGTTCTAATATGTGTGTGTGTTCCTGCGTGCTGTGTGCACACATGCATGTGTGTATACATGAGTGCACACGTGCACCTGTGTTCCAAGTCACAAAGGGCACCTGAATGCTTAAAAAACACTTGCTTCCCCACACACGTTAACTTGTACTTACATAGTTGGAGGCCAGGTCCGGATGGAGATAGTCAATCCCTGTGAAGAGACAACAGCTCAGGTTAATACTTGACTGTGTCCTCAGGAAAGCCCCCTCCTTGTGGGGCTGCTGCCAGGGGATTTGGAAGGGGTGAGTGCCAGTGCCCGAGGCTCCTGGCTGGCATTGCCTTTCCCCAGTGAGGGTGAGCTGCACTGCCTGAGTGGAGAGGCAGCTGCCACCAGCTGCGTCAGAGGAGTGAAGCCAATTAGAGCTCAGGGCCCCCAGATAACACTTCTGACATAAATGACAGCACTGAGGGGCTTAGTGGCCTCAAGACGGATGGCTCATCAGAGCTGTGATCTGGGAGAGATTTGTGGAAATTCTGACATTTCCAAAGTACCTACTGGCTTTTCTTCTGAAATGAATCTGGCCCCGGGAAGGAAAAGTGATTATTATTTAACAGGGCATAGACAGCAATGGATTAGGAGAGCATTCTATGGCATGGAAATAATAACAGGAACACAGCTGGGTGAGAAAAGCTATTAGGCAAAGGGGAATGGTTTCCGAGCAGTGTCTTGGGTGGGAGCTGAGGCTGGTTTCTCTAGTATGTGGCTTTCTAGAAAGCCAGAAACCTCGAGCCTCCCAGCAGGAGTCCTCTGCTTTCTCTTGGAGACAGATCTGTTTTGTTTCCCAATAGAGATTAAATTATGTCCTATCAGTCTGCTGGATTCCATCAGACATGTGGACCTTGGAAAGCACCATGAAACTTCACGGGCAAATGGAAAAGATCTCACCCAATTCTGCAAACCAAATAGTTGGACCTTTGAGAAATCAGCCAGGTCCCTGAACTACCCCATACATGGTTGTAAGTGTAGTTTTGGAATCAAAGACCTGTGTTTGCCACACTACTAACTGGCTGCATGACTACAGGCAGGCTGCTTGCCTTCTCTGTGCTGGCTGTATCCCCAACCTGGTGAGGGGGAGAAAAGCGTGGCATGCTTAGCCCAGTGGCATTTAATGACTTTTATTGGGTTGGCAGTATTTAAAAACTAGAAATAGCATCAAGTCCCCCTCATAGCTGGCATCCTCACTACACGCTTACTAAGGCTAGACTTTTGCTCTGCAAAACAGAACTTGTATTAGGATGTAAGTTTTGAGAAAGAACATTTCATTTGTTAATCTTCCGGCATAAGGAATTTCTGGACTGGTCAATTTGGGCTTGCGGGTAAAGTTGAGCATCAGCACAGGTGATGAGACCACAGATCCAGCTCTATTGCAGGCTCAGGAACTAATATTTGTGTGCTGTAACCTCTAAGCCTCAGTTCCCTCATGTTGAAATGGGGGTAACCTACAAAGCAGTTCTCAAGAGTAGAGTCAGTTCATTGAAAGGGTTCAGCTTGTAGTACATACTTGATCAATTGTATTTCTTATTGTCTTAGTACCATCCTTTACCATATCACTAGAATGATGTGGATAATGTAGAAGGGCAGAAATGTAAAAAAAAAAAACCAAAAAAAAACCCTACTTGGTTTTAGATAATTGGGTTGAAATTAACTTGTATATGTTTGTTGAAATTGGTTAAATTTCGTGTGTTCATTATTGGGATAAAATAAACTCATGTCATTTACAGCAAGTGGATAGAGCTGGAAGGGATTATGCTAAGCACAATAAGTCAGAAGGAGAAAGAGAAATAAGTGAAGATGGTTTCACTCATATATGGAATATAGAGAAGCCAAACAAAAGGTCAAAGACAAACCTTGAAAGCTGACTGTAGATCTGAGGCGTTCTGGAGTTGAAGGGAAGGGAGAGAGTGAGGGGGTGAAAACAAGAGCAGGAGGAGCACATTGGACTCTGCCTAAGGCTGCCAGAGGGATGTGGTGGGTGGGTGGAAAGGGGAGAGGGGTCCCATGGAGGATTACTGACGCATGGGTGGTGGGTGTGGTGAATATTCATTGGTAGAGATGTAAACCTACACCCTAAAACATAGACTGTAATATAAATCAACATTACCTCAATAAATATAAGTTTACCAGCAAAAAAAAAGGGGGGGCTGGGTTACATAAATTGTGGAAAATCCACACTATAAACTACTATGTAACGATTAGAGATGATACTGGAGACTTGTGTATATTGGCAACAAAGGAGAGCCACAAAACATTCTTAAAATTTAAAAGGGAATTGCAAAATAATGTGCATAGTATGATTCTATTCTGTTATTTTGTGTGTTATATATACACATTTGTATATACAGGGAGAAGGAAAAAATACATACACCAAGACATTAACTGATTAGTTCTGGGTATTGAGTTTATAGCTGATTTTATCTTCCTGTTTTTTGATTATCTGTATTTTCTGATTTTTACATAGTTTCTATAATGGAACATGTGTTACTTGGGTCATAAAAGAAATTTAAAAATGAAACAAAAAACCTCTGTAACTAAAGATAAGCTAAAAAAAGACCCACACACAGAATATTTAATTTTTTCTAACAGGGAGTTGATTTTTAAAGCATGACTCCATGTTCTGAGAGTACAAATTGCTTAGAAGAGAAATTTTATAAGCGTAGTCTCTTTTCTGTGAAGGGAAAAATATTGAAATAACAAGATAATTTGAGACCAGAAGGAAATTAGAATTAAAACAAAATAAATTTAGCCTAATTATAAAAGAAATTTTTAATTAGGTTTGGGGAAAACCAACAGACACGGACTTTGGTCTAAGGAAAACAACCACCATTGATATAACTATGAAGAATGACAGACATGACTTAGAAAAATAATAATAAACTAAAGCATGAAAGCAATCACCTGGTAATTAAACAGTATTTTAATATTTTTGTATATTTGATTATCTCCTGAGGTAGAAAGCACTGAATACATCCTCTTAATCAGCTTAGTCATTTTTTTTTTAAGTCTTGTATTATTAATGTATTTGTTCTTATTTTTCACCTTTGCTTTAGTTTATTTTCAGAAATGAATACCAGACACTATGTAGGTCCCGGAAAAACACAGACAATACACGAAACCTGAGCTTCACAACTATTGATGACTCACAGTCTGTGGGGTACCAACTTATCAACAACCAATTTGTGACACACAAATGACAAATAAGTGATTATATTTTTGTTCATAAGCCATTAATATCCTGCTATCAATTTGAATCTGCTCAGAAAGTCTACTCCAGTAGTCCAAATATTCAGTAAGTTCTGATGGTTCGAGAAACCTCCAGGAGGTAGCAAGGAACTCTTTTGCCTAGTTTCTACTTAGAGTAGTCAGAGTTCAGTTGAGAAGTACGTCAGAGGACTCTGGTTCTAGGTCCAGTTCTTTCCATTCTCCCAAGAGAGGTAGAGCTTTGTACTGTTCCCCAACAATATATATGTTAATTGGGGGTAGGTCACAATGGCTGGAGTGTATTTTTGAAAGATGGCAGTTCAGTATTTCCTATCTCATCTGATCTTCTACAAGGTGACAGTACCAATCCCTCTCACTCCTTTTCGAGGTAGGTCTTTCCTTTCCTCTGTGATTTTATTTGGCTTCTATCAACAGGATACAGTGAATGCCATTGCCTAATTTCCAAGGTTAGGTCAGAAGAGGCCCAGCACCTTCCACCTGATCCCTTTGGATGCTTGCTCTGGAGAAAGCCCCCTGCCATGTAAGAAGCCCACATGTAGGCATTCTGTTTGACAGCTTCTGCTGAGCCCCAGGGACATCTAACTTCAACTACCAGCCATGGGAGCAAGCTGTCGCGAGGTCCAGCTCAAATGAGCCTTTAGATGACTTAGCCCAGCCAACAGCTGACCTCAACTACATGGGTGACCTCAAGTGAGCTCTGCTAAGGCAGACTCTAAGTTACTGTGCTGCAAAATAATCATTACTCTAAGCTGCTAAGTGCTAGAATAATTTGTTACACAGCAAATAACTGGAACAAACCCTGCAGGACCTTCTGAGGGCTGTGAGGTCCTGTTCAGAGAGAAGTTATTGTTCTTTTATGTGATGCAGATGCAGGTTGTTAAGCTTGTACTGCCACTTACAAGGATGAGGTCCCATTTACGAATCCACCAGGAAGGCAAACAAAGGGTGGGCTTTAAGCACTGAAGATGGTTACAATTGGTTGTGAGACATTGGTCAGTTTCTGCCTCCCAAAACCTCAGTTTATTCATACTGACCTTAGAAAATAATTATGACTGTGTTTCCTAAAAGCTATGCAGTGTCTAGCAAATACTCAATAGGTGTTAGCTTTTATTGTTACTAAAGCTTGGAGTTTTCGCTGACTCCAGCTCACTGACTTTCACCTTCCTTGGCTCCATCTGATATTGGCTGAAGGTCTTGACCAGGCCTTTCTGACATCTTTGACCTTGACAGCAAATTGCTTGCCCTAAATTTTACCTGGTTTGGGTGACTCCTGTCTAACTGTCAAGGTCATATTTCATTGTCTAGGTCAAGTTCCCAAGACCAAACAATTCTATTATAATAAAGGAGATATGTCATCATTAAATGGGGTCCTCACTGACATGTATGTGATCCAAATGTCACAGCAGACCCAAGAAACATTTCTGTTCCTTTGGGCAACAGCTAAGCAAGGAGGAGCTCTCCTAGTGACATGTAGTACATGGAAATGACATTAAGTTTCACCCAAGTGAAGGCAACAGATTTTTACTGACATCTATGGAATCACTAGATTTAGCCAAGGGAACAATAGCCAAGTTTTGAGTTAGGAGACCGGAGATGAGTGAATGGCTATTGAAAATGACTATCCTCAAGTTGAATCTTCCAGACAAATATCTGAGTTTTTGTCATTAAGCCAATTATAGAAAACCATAGGTTATAAAATAGTTTGTTATTTTTGCTTTTAGGTATCAGGGTAAGCATCTGTGTCTGTCTTTAATCTTGCTTTGTAAGGATGTCTTGCTGAGAGACTATCTGGGAAATGATATCACAGCACTCAGTAATGCAGGCAGTTAAAAGAGAAATTGCAGTCCTGATGTCCCCAGCCTCACCAGCACAGCTCCCTATCTCTAGGTGTTGGAGTAGAGGAGCTCAGTTACATGCTGTGGGGGTACTGAGCATCTGGCCTTGGCCTTGTCATTGGTAAGCCATTCTTGGCCCAAATCATCTTGGCGTTCAACAGTGGATTTGGAGAATGTGTTGGCTCTCATTCTTTATTCCAGTTATTAGACTGAATAAGTATGCGGTAAATTGAAGTTGGGTGCAGTTCCTGTCTCTCGCGACACCTGGAGGTAAAACTGTGTGCCCTCCCCTGGAATCTGGACCAGCCCTGAGATCATTTATCTAACAGTAGTGGCCGTGACACTTGCTGATTCCAGGTCCAGCCTTTTAGATATCTGAGAGCATGTCCTCCTTGTCTGTTAGAGTGCCAGTTTTGGAACCTCCTAACCATCTGCAAGAAAATCCAGCCACCTTGATAGGGAGACCACATGGAAAGGAGAGGCTCTGGGACCACAGTGGGAGGGAGAAAGGCAGATTATTTCCCCAGCCCCATAGAGCGTCCACTGACACTAACACCCTCTGATCTCAGCTGCCTGAGAGACCTTGAGAGACCAACAACAGAATCATCCAGCTAAGTTAGCAAACTTGCAGGGTTGAGAGATAACCCATGGATTGCTTTAAGCATCTTGGTTTGGGGGTAGTTCATTTTTCAGCAGGTGATGACCAGAAAGATAAGTTAGGGCCTTTAATTGGGAGGCAGAGTTCACCATTTTGGGACCAACAGAAGAAATACTATTGAATAAAAAAATTCTGCTGAGACTTTTGTAAAGGGCTCAGTTTCTTAAGCTAGAAAATATGAAACTGGATCAGGTACTAACCCCTCTGTTATCTTTGGAAGGGATTATGAGCAGTCAGTCAAGGGGGTTACAGCTAAAGAATTCTGAAATAGGCATCACAGGGCCGTTGGGAGTGTCCCAAGAGTAATGTACCTGCCTTGGACACTGTCCTGCCCTAATTTTAGAATGCTTTCCTAATGTCTCAGATGTGGGGTGAAGTGAGCATTGCAATATGTCCCAGACTTAGATGTCCGCCAAACTTAGATGCATCTTTTTCCTAAAAGAGCTGGCCTCAACCATTTCAGTTTCTAATCCAAAGCCTAGGAAGGAAGAGTTAAAGCACCCACCATCAGGGCAGCTCTTGTGCAGAGCAACTTCCTGCTGTAAAAGCCCTCGACCACATGGTGAAAGCTTTCACATGCACTTCGAAACATCTCACACATCAGAGGTCACCAGCCATTGGTTTCAGGTTGATGTTAATGATCCCACAAAGAGTGCCCATTTCCAGCTTTCCTTATTTCTCCATCAAGTCTGCTTCAAAGGCTTACTTAGATCCTCTAAGTGTTCTTAGAGGATCTTCAGAAGGAGAGTTTCCATGTTTCATCTCTGTACAGGTTTTATATATAATTGGACCCATTGGCAGGGTGGAATGTTCACTGGAGGACCCAGATGGCTGATGAAGGCAACAGCATACCCCAATGAGATGCTATAGGGCACAGAGTCCTTGGCAGAACTGAGGATGTGTAGTTAGAAAAATACCAACTCACCAAACCCATCAGTTCTCCTACCACCAACTATAGAAAATAAAGTGCTACTAAATCTATGTCTGGCAGGCACATGAGATAGAATAACATACTATAGAAGGCATGGGTAATAAAATGTTATCAAAGTCTGCTTTCAAGGACTCATTCTGAAATGAAATGACAATAATGTCAACATATCTCCAAACCCCAATCCTTCTGCTAGAAAACTATTTCATGAATATAAAGCCGTTGTCTAACAGAATTTCTGTAATAATAAAGATAGAATTGCATTGAGTTACTGCAGTGGATCCATAGCCCTGTGCGGATATTAAGAAGTTGAAACAAAGATAGTATGATTGAAGAACTGAATTTTTAGTTTTAATTAGTTTTAATTAATTAAGACAAATGTAAATAGCGACATGTAACTAGTGGCTACTACATTGGAAACTGTGGCTCTTGAAAAATAGATGGTAAAAATAAACAGATTTGGAGGATGCTTTAAGTCAAGGTATAAGCAGCAGTGGCCCGATAAGAAATGATGGTTGAGTGATGGGCAGCTTTCATTTGTTCATTTTTTAAGTTAAAAAAATTTTGTTAATTCAACAAATATTTGCTAAGGGCATCATCGAGTCTAGAGGCTACTGAGTTGAATGAAAGTGAGGATTTTGTCACAAACAGATGGTCATCAGAGCCACCATTTGGCTATTCTCTCTGATTAACCTTTCCAAAACAATGACTCTTTTATATTCTGAAGGCATGCAAAGACACACTTGCTTCCAAATAATGTCAAATTTTGAAATACTCACCATCATCCATGATGCCAATGGTGACACCTTTTCCAGTGTATCCCAGCTCCCAGGCTTCTGCCACATTCAGATCCAGGCCGGGGGTGCCATCAGCTTGTCCGGTGTTGATCTGGTACAGGAATTCCAAAACAGAGAATCTGATTGGTTTGGTCCACTGTGTAAAATGTTTGCTTGACACTTGCAGCCATGTGATCTCCTAGGGTCAGCTCAGAGACCACTTCTTCCATGTGGTGGTACTTACGTGTTCCTCTACCTACTTTTTCTGTTTATGTAAATGCACAGTTTCAACCACCCTCACATCTTATGACTAGTTTGCTATCTTGAAACTTCTTAGAATTGCCATTGGAGAGATCCTCCTCAATTTACAGTAAAAGCCTCACTCTCAAAGCTTTCTACTTCATGTTTTGCATTTTGCACATAGCACCTTGGATTATTCTTGTTTGAATATGATTTTCTCACTAAATAGTAATATTCTTTGCAAGAGGAAGCATGTCCTATTTACCTTTGTAATTTCAGTATTGTCTCATCAAGTCTTACTTGAAAATATTTGTTCAATTGAAATAAAGACAGCTGGCTCACCTTGAGAACATGTTCCAAGCTAAAAATAAAATAAAATAAATTTAACCTCCTTCCTAAAATAATTTAAAAAGGAAAAGAAAAGAAAAAATTAAAATACATATGTTCACTATCCTCTTTTCATGTATCTTTGTCCTGTGCATATTTTTTCAAAAACAAAGTGTAAATAAACAGTGAAATCAGAGCTTGTACTCTGGCTATTGTGGTATTGCCCAAACATTGTGTGACTGTCACCAGTGCTTGTTATAGAAAAGACTGTTCCTCTCCGTCCAGGCACAGGTTAACATTATACCTTTCCTTTCCCTTTGAAATGGAAATGGTCACAACCTGGTTTTAGCCAATACAAGGTAAGCTCATGTGCCATCTGTCATGTCCAGGCAGAAACTTTAAGGGCCAATGTGCAATCTGTTCCTTCCCCTTACTGGTTCTGAGATAGAGATTGGTAAGTCTGAGTCCCCGAAAGATTGTGAGCTTAACATTTTGATTTTGTTAAGTTGCTATATTTGGGAGTTGTATGTTATCCCCCCAAACCTAGCCTGTCCTGAATAACATAGGTAAGCTCATTCAGCTTCCCAGAGTGGATTCCACGCCAAAAGCATAAGGTAGAGTCAAACTCTGAAGCTCCAAGAGGGAAATTTTGGTGCATTACTAGAATGTGACAATCCACAGGGTCATAACTGAGTTTTCCCTCTTATTCATCACCTTGAATGATAAATAAAGCTTCATTCATAGTTGCAAATTAGCCACTCTATCCCCCTCGACAATCCCAGGAGTTTGGATCAGTTTGAAGTCACTGAGCCTCTTTTCAACACAACCCAAATGGTCCAAATGGATCATGAGACACTATTGGTGAACAGGAACTACTCCCTTCATCAAACAGTCTGAGTTTATAGGCTGAGTTTCTGTACCTTGAATCCTGCATCAAGCTAACCCCATGGAACTGATATCCTGTCATCTCAGGAACCACTAACAGATGTTACTTTTGTTACTTTAGTCTTTGAGTGCTCTTCCTTGTCCCTTTTGAAGTCACCTGATTCTTTCTCTCATGCCTGTGGTTATACCATGTCCTGTAATCACTTTGCCTGTTGAGACATCTGGATTACTTTCCCCATACCTTTCACATGACTTTTACATATTCTGGAAGTATCACTCATGCTCTGGTGTGCTTTTTCGGAGTCTGGGAGGATGTAATGAGCTGCTGGTAGTGGCTTTGACCCTAAGAGATCATGACTATTTAGCAGTCCAGAAGAAAACAGATTGAAGAACAAGATGCATGTCTGGTGATAGGAAATCAATACGTTTCAGAGGGGACAAAGAGGTTCATGGAGTTGAAAGCTGGCTACCATCCCACAGCATAATAAGGAAGTAGAAAAACATCTTTCATCTGAAGTCTCAAGATGAGCAGCATTAGGAATAATGCAGAGATACTTACCAGATACCATTGCTTTGTAAAAAGAGGATCGTTCATGTTGATGTCAATCTCATTGATGTCTCTATACCCTCGTTTTTTTCGGTCGAATCCTTCCTGTTGCAAGGCCATCTTTATCTGGAACGACAATACCGGCATATTACCTTAATGTCAACCTGAATGTCACTACACTGTAATTCATTTCCAAAAATTCAAATTCCATTTGTGTATAAGACACTTTTTTCTCAGCAGAAGCCAAGTTCATTTCACATGCGCTTTCACTTTATGATGCTTTTCCAAGAGCATTTATTTCTGCTTGAGTGGAACAAACAGGCTTTCATGATGGCTCTGACTGGGTTTTCTTAAAATAAGAATTAGGTGGGAGAATATATTCTTGAGGATGTGAAGGTAGTAAGGGTTGTTCAGTGAAATATGCAAAGCAATGGATCACTTCTATTAGGGAGAGAAGACTGGTGTGGATGCAGCAAGGGACTGCATGAAAACTGCTTAGATCATTTTTTCTGGAGGGTGTCCCGGTCTTTGCATTTGTCAACAATACTGTGCTCTCACATTTGGGAATCAGCCAAAAATAAACAAAAAGGAGGAAAGCCTGCCTGGAGAGCCAGCAAGTCCATAGGAAAGCTCTGGAGGGTAAGTGAGGGAATTTTGAAGATGAATAATAGATGGCTGGTTTAGCTGTCCTGGCAAAGACATGTCATTTTGAAACAAAAGTCAGCTAGGACCCCAAGCTCTTGGATGGAAAAAAGATTTACGGGTAGACTTCATTAGATACTACTTCTGGCAACTGCAAATCTTTATCAAGAAACGTTCACTTGAGAATAATTTATCATCTGATAGTTGTAGTCAGCCTTTAAACACTACAAATTCAAAGACTGTACACATAGGTAAAATGGTGTGTGCTGGATACTCGTGATTCTTTAAAATTATATTTTGCAGTGTCTATTTCTCCTTTTCCCAAATCACCTCAGTGTATTTGGGAATGACCCAAACTGTGTTGGTGGGAGTGAAATGTGAGGAATCAGCCTGCTGTAAGGAAACTGCAGGCTCTCTCTGCCTCAGACAACCTCAGTGGATATCTCTCCCCCAGGACTGGGATCTTGGGAAAATGGTGTGGGGGGGAGGAACCCTTGGATATTATTTTTCCCAGAGGTCCACTCGCCAGGCTCTCCTTGCAAAAAGAGCTTCTCTATCATTCCACGCCCAGCCCTGACACTCCTCCAGGATTAATACTTTGACCTTCGCAGATTGAGAGCTCCCCAGATCTTTCTGACAAATTATCTTTTGCTTAAGTGATTCAGAATCAACTTATGTTGCTTGTAATCAAAATTTTGATGCGAGATGAGAGAAAGACACGAGGGTCTATATCAAGAGCGATGTCAAGAAGAGAATGAGGAAGCCCACATACAGGGTGGGAAACTCCCCTTCCTGCAGCTCTGGAATGAGGGGGAGGCCATGGGGAGAGTAGTGTCTTACTTCCTTGCTCTATATCCCACCACAAGAGGACCTGGGGCTTGTTTGCCAGAAAAACTCTAACTTTACCAGGAAGTCCATACAGGTTTCCCCTGCTATCCGGAGGTAGAATATTCTTATTTCTTATGATTCAATCAATGATTTTTTATGTCTGGGAATACCAAAAATATTTTCCTTATTTGTGTGTCTCTGGACGTGTGTGTATTCAGTAATGTAGATCATTTAAAATGCTGAAGAGGGCCTCCCCTGGTGGTGCAGAGGTTGAGCGCTGGGCTGCGAAGCTGCCCACTGCCTCTGCAGCACCGGTTCGATCCCTGGCCATTGGCGAGGGTCCCACATGGCGCGACAGACCTCTCCTGCTGTGCCTGGTGCTCCCCTCAGCAGTGTATTTCGTCAGTCTGCCTGTTCTGTTCCCTGCTCTGGCACAGGTGAATTCTCTCCCACTCCCGCGCTTTTGACTGTACCCAGTGCTTGTATAAATAAATAAATAAATAAATCTTTAAAAAAAAAATGCTGAAGAAAATGTAGTTTTAATCTAGAAAGAGGCTGGCATACTCTTCTGGAAAGCTTTTACTAGGGAAGCAGGTATTCAAATGAGCATCACTTTAACCAGGAAAGAGGGAACCTGAACCTGGCCATTTGGGGAGTCTTTGGTAAGTCATCTGCCCATTTTGGTCCCATAACAAGGCCTTAATCTGCTCTGCTCACTAATGGGAGGCCTTGATTGTCTTATTCTATTGATTCATTGTCATGAGGGACTTCGGCTTCCTTGAATTGATGGCTCCTTTCATTTGCTAGGATCTTGGCTAATCACAAGCTACTGCTGAGTGGAAGCTGGAAAACCCTCATCCATAGGTTATTTTCCAGCAGCATGAGGACAAGAATATTAACTTCAGATTCTATCTTTTAAATAACAGTGCTGGCATGGCCATTACACGATCACTTCTAATTCAATTAAAGCAAGTGCATTCTAATGAAAAGACTGTTTAAATTCACTTCCACAAAATTAATTTTTAATTCTATAAATCAGGCTTTAATGGAAACCAGTGATGCTTTGGAAGGCTGCCCTCTCTGGACACCACCCCACCTTGGAACCCAGGAGCGCTAAGCAAGATTTAGGTGTCTGCAATTTTGTCATCTTGTATTATTGAGAATTAGCAATCCAAAGATTGCACAGGGCTTCCTGAGTCTGTCAGTTTCTCTTCCTGTCTTCAATGAAGATCAGTTACAATTTTGAAAGAGGTGAATACCTTTAAAATATATATTTTTACTTGTTACACACAAATAACAAAAGAAAAGTTGTTTGTTTTTTTTCTCACAGTGATACCAGGTAATACCATAAACGGCTTTTATTTTTCTGGGTTCTTAACCAATCCAAATTCACATTCAAACCAAATTTTTATGTAACACCTCTCATACTATAGATGAAATTATACATTCTTTCTTCACTATGTACCCCACCTTAAGAATTCTAAATACTACTATCTAGCTTTCATATTTTAATTTTTAATGACTACCTAAATATTCCATAGAATAAGGTACCATAATATATCCAATAATCCCCCTCTTATTGGTGATTTGGATTGTTTTCTATTATAAATGAAATTGCCATCAGCAGAGAGATGAGATTATAAACCACTTTTAAAGACTTCTGTGAAGGTTTCAGTGTTATAATTCAATGTATGATAAAGCCCAATGCCAGAGACGTATTTCCTAGCGTCTATAATCTTCCTTCTTATTATAACTAAAAGGTCACATTTATTCTTTTTTCTTCCTTTTAGAACTGTAACCTTTCACACACAATACTGTTCATTACCACTTAGATGTGGTTCCAATAACATGCATAAATTTAACTATTGCTTCTATGTTTCACTTTAGTATGCTTCCCCAAGATGGTCAATTCAACTAGACATTTATACAAATAAAAAATATAGAAAAGGGACAGTTTGTTACTGGGTATTGTTTTATTAAAAATGAATAAATGAGTATTCTACAATTCCATTTCTTTTCCTTTTTGTTTTTATAAGCTTGAAGTAATGTTGTTTTCCATCACTGTACATGTTTTAGGAGTATAGGTTCACACCTCACCCAATAAATAGCACCATAACATGCCCACCACCAAACTACCAATTACCCTCCACCACAGTCCATTGGATCCCCTCCACCTTTTGCCTCCATATCCCTCCTCTTCTGGTAACCTCAATTTTGCAGTAGAATTCCAACAGGGTTGTTTTGATTTGATTTTGTCTGTTACTTTGCATTGTTTCTTTATATTCCAAATACGAGTGAAATCATTTAGTACTTCTCTTTCTCTTTATGATTTATTTTGCTTAGCATAATCTTTTCCAGTTTCATTCATGTTGCTCCAAATGGCAAGATTTCATTTTTTTTTTTTTTTTTTAGATAACTGAGTAGTATTCCATTGTATCTGTACATATATCATGTCTTCTTCATCCAGTCACTTGTTGTTGGGTACTTAAGTTATTTCCATATCTTGTCTATTGTAAATAGTGCTGCAATGCACATAGGCATGCGTATATCTTTTTGAATGAGTGTTTTTATGTTCTTCAGATAGTTACCTAGGAGTGGAATTGTGAGGTCCTATGATAGATCTATTTTTAATAGTTTGAAAAATCTCCATACTGTTTTCCATAGGAGCTAGATCAGTTTGCATTTCCACCAACAGTGGACGAGGGTTGCAAATTCTTCACATCCTTGCCAACATTTATTTGTCTAGCTTTTTTGAAATAGGCCAGAGGGGTGAAGTGATATCTCCTTGTGGCTTTATTTGCATTTCCCTCATGATAAATGATTTTTTCATATGTCTATCAGCCATCTGTACTCTTCTTTTGAAAAGTGTCTATTCAAATCTTCTGCCCACTTTTTGATTTTTTTTTTTTAAAGATTTATTTATTTATTTATACAAGAACCGGAGTACAGGCCAGATGCATGGGAGGGTGAGAGGATTCACCAGAGACAGAGAGGGGAACAATCAGGCAGACTGACGAAATACACTTCTGAGGGGAGCAGCAGGCACGACAGGAGAGTTCTGCTGCGCCATGTGGGATCCTCGCCGGCCAGCTGGGATGGAACCCGTGCTGCAGAGGCTGCGGACAGCTTCACAGTGCTGATCTCAACTGCCTGCACCACCGGGGGAGGCACTTGATTGGGTTGTTTTTGTTGTTGTTAGTTGTATCAGCTTTCTTTCAATAAATCTTGAATATAAACTACTTGTCAGATACATGGTATGCAAATTATTTTCACCTATTAGTAAGCTGTCTTTTCGTTTTAATGATAGTTTCTTTCTCTATTCAGAAGACTTTTACTTTGATGTAGGTCCATTTGTTCATTTTTGCTTTTGTTTCTTTGTCTTTATAGTTGAGTCCCCAAAGATATCACTGAGGCCAATGTTGTGGAGTGTTTTGCCTCTGTTTTCTATTATGTATTGTATGACTCAGGTCTTCCATTCAAGTCTTTAATCCATTTTTAATTAATTTTTTGTGTATGGCATGAGATACACATTCTTTTGCATGTGGCTGTCCTGTTTCCTCAACACAATTTGTTGAAAAGACTGTTCTTTCATTATTATATTCTCTTCACTCCTTTGTTGTAAAATATCTGTTCATAAAGTTGTGGGTTTATTTCCG